AACAGTTGGGCCAACTACAGAAAGCCCAGAGATGTGTAGATTAGAGAAGCATAGAATTGGGTAAAGAAAGATTAATTTTAAAAGGGAGAGATGCCTGGCTGGTGTGGCTCAGTGGTTGAGTGTTGACCCATGCACCAGGAGGTCGCCCGTTCGATTCCCAGTCAGGGCACGTGCCCAGGTTGTGAGCCAGGTCCCCAATGGGGGGCATGCAGGAGGTGGCCAAATGATGTTCTCTCTCATTGATGTTTCCATCTCTCTCTCCCTCTCCTGTCCTCTCTCTCTAAAACAATAATAAAAAAAAAAAATTAAAAAGGAGAGAGATGAAAGTCACAAAATGAAGGAGAATGGGTAGCCAGGAGTGGATGGAGTAGGAGGTAAGGATGGAGAGACGCAGGAGACAGAAACGGATATGAAATGGGGAAGAGGAAGAAGATGCCTTTTCTTTATTAGTATAATAGTCAATACTTACTGAATGCTTATTATGTGCCAGGCAGTGTTTGAAGCCTCTCATTCAGCATTCCTGTGGTATGATTGTTCCCGAGCATTTTCTCTGCCCTTCTTGGATTTTACATCCCTGCCTATTGCTGTGTGACTTTCTGTGCCTCCTAGTGAATGACCCTATCCCACTAATGTTGACTCTATGTATGAATAGCATTGGCCTACTGCATGTGAGTGTACATGAAGTATATCATAGCCTAGAAGAAGCTTTGACTCACTGTTTCTGTCACCACTGTGTTCTTTCCTCTGCTTGGAGAATACTATGTGCCAAGCATTGGCCATGTTCTTTCCTCTGCTTAGAGAATACTATGTGCCACGTAGGGGCTGCTCCTTCAGTCTAGGGCCCAGGGGAAGACACATGGAGTGGAGATACACATGGCCACCTGCAGTCACCTACAGTCACATGTAATGTGAGAGAGAAATAAATGCCCTAATTGTTATTTGTTACTGCAACAAAGCTGGCTAATATACCTCCCACAACTTTAAGAGCTAGGAACTGTTATTATCCTTATTTTACAGATGAGAAAATGGAAGCAAGTAACTTGCCTCAGGCCACACATTCATCTGGCAGAGTCAGGGTTTGCTTTTAACCTTCACATGATAGCATCTCTCAAATGGGGCTCCACGTTATTTTTAAACAAATTCAGTTATTCAGAATGGGACACATATTCACAAAACACAAAGGTCAATGGGGAGAGAGTGGGAGGACAGAGCAGCAAAGAGGCTGTCACCACCTCCTCCTAACAGCACGCCTTTCAAGGAAGATGGGCTGAGACCAGACCCCTTAATGGCTAGGGCTTCTCTGGAAATGGTACCAGCAGTGTGTCCCTGAGCCCTGTGGTATTTGAAGGGCCCATTCGAAGAAGAAGAGGATTCTGGGCTGAGAAAAGTCCTGGCCAGACAGTTTCCTTTTACCATGGTCTTGTCCACTGCATGCACGTGAATGGAGAGGGGTGCACTGTCTCGGTGGGGAGCACTGTTGCCCTGGGCCTGCATTTGGAAACAACACAAGGGATGCTGGTCACAAGTGTGGCCCAAGTGCAATAACAAGAGTTGTCCATCTTCCATGAAAGCACCCTGAACAATGGTTCTGTCCAGCAAGCCTTAGGCTTTGCTTTCTGTTTCCTTTGAGTTCTTTGGGTTTGCAGAAAACCATCTTGGTTAGAAGTCCAGCCAGGAGGGAGCAGAGCCCCACCCTGCAAGCTGGGAGTTCAGAGCATGTCCACAGCGGTCTTTCTCCCAGAAGATCACAACTGTGGGGTCTAAATACAGCATTTGCATTGAGCTATTTTCACACTTGGAATGGGTTGGCTCTGACTGTGTCTCCTGCCTGATCATGGCCAAGGGACTGAGGGGCGAGGGGCTGCTGCCCAATAGGACACCTGCTAAGTACATCTTGTTCCTGCTCTGCAGCTGCAGGGCCTTTCTGTCCTGCCCGCACGGGGCACAGTGCACATTGCCAGGTCCTTCACAAGTCACCTGGTCAGACTGGACAGCCCTGTGGACCAGATGTTCCTGAGTGAACCACAGTTTTATTTCGAAAGTGGGAAGGTCTTTAATCCATTTTCTGGTAAACATCCCAAGCAGGTAGCATATGGTTGTCACCATGGGAAAACAAACTGTTTTTCTATGCCTTTCTATTTGATCTGGCCAAAACAGCCTGTTTTTCCCAGTCCTGTTGCTATTTTGCAATCATGTTGATTTCATCCTGTGTTTATTATTTCTCTGGCTCCTGAACCTTGGCCTGGGAAGACCGTCCCGTTTTAGGAGAAGACACACATTCTCACGAGGAGCTTCATTTGATCTTTGGATACATTTATTACCGGAGGTATTAGTCAGTGAGGGAGCATCTGAGAAATACTGTAAGGTCTGTGGAGAGAGGAGCATGAAGCTCTCACAAGCAGCAGGAAAATGGAGCCGGGGGTGTGTGTGGGGGGTCTGAAATTGTGTTATCACAGTGATCTGAATTAAGCAAATTTTCAAATTGCCTGTGAAGAATAAATATAGCGTTGATAAAAAGGCTTAAGCTCTCAGATGACTGTGGAAGAGTACATTTCCCCTTTCCTGTGCATTTTTCCTTTTCCTGTGCTAGTGATTTTTCTTAGCTGATATTCAGAAGTTAGTTTTGATAATGTTTATTTTTAAGTGACACTTACCTAGACAAGCATTAAGTTAAATAATTCTGTAAGAATTTCCATAAAAAAAACACCCTCAACTTCTTGGCGGTGGCCAGGGGGTTCTCTCACGGACTCATGAGGAGAGCATTCTGGGAGACCCAATCTGGGAGGCTGTGGCGCAGTACGGATTGTTGTGGCGCCTGATGCAAAATCAAAGGACCACCCTGGGTCACCAGGGTCTCATCTGCATCTGTCCCGCCATAAAAGATCCAACCTTGCCCAGCTGGTGTGCCTCAGTCGTCCTGTGCACTGAGAGGTCTGGGTTTGATTCCTGGTCAGGGCACATGTCCGGGTTGTGGCTCAGTCCCATCGATGTTTCTATCTCTCCCTTAAAAAAATCAATAAAAACATGTTTTAAAAAATCCAAACTTGTCTTTATCAGGGCCAGAAATAGGGCCAATATCCAGAGATTTTGTGCATTGGTTCAGTCCATGTCTGTCCCCATCTGCCTAGGCTAGCGTGGTGCGCTCTGACCGGCGCTCCTGGGGCCATGGCTGCTATGGATTAACCCCTGCTTCTCCCAAGGAAGAGACCCCTGAACATGAGGTGACCGAGGCTCTGTCTTTGTCCCCCCAGGGCCGAATAGAGGCCTTGCACAAGGAAGTCACTCAGTTACTGCTGAACAATAGATGGCAGTTGTCCCAGACTGAGGTTGTAAATGCGGGCTGGGGAGTCAAGTGACCTGGGAAGGAATGTCTGGTTTCTTTTCTGCCCTCTCCCCAACCTCGCCACCATCCCGCCTGAGCCCCAACTGGAAGAGTCCTGATGCTGAGAATCTGTGATTAGGGGTGACCCTACTGCTCACTGTCTAGGCCACCCTCAGAACCCCACCAATGACTCCTCCTCCTTCATGCCCTGTAGCCATCTGTCCTCAGGCCCCACACCAAGCCCCAGGACGGGCACGAAAATGAAGGAGTTGTGTCAGGGTCAAGAGCAGCGCTGGGCTCAGCTCTGGCTACTCTGCCGGCTTCAGCTATGCACTCTGTGGGGGAGTCTCCGAAAGTACGGCCGGGGTCAGGGTGGACGCGCATAAGCAACAAGAAAGCTGGTCTTGCCCTTCGTTCAGTAGCGCGCACCTTTATTGAGCACGTAGAAAACGGTGCTGCCACGAGAGAGCAGACAACAGGGACTGTGGGGGCCCCCCCGGGCACCTCTCTGCCGGCCTCTGTGACAGTGAAGCCAGGTGGGGAACATCCGGCCTGAAGTTCACCCTGAACACGGGTCCACGCAGCCCAGCTGCTCTCAGGCTCTGCTCTCTGTGGGCGTCGGGAGGAGCTGGACAGAGATCAGAGACGGCGTCTCACCTCTGTTTGGAAGCCCTGGTGGGCCTGCCACCCACCATCTGCAGTGGGAAAAGAGCTGGTCTTTAGCTTGCTGATAAACACCACGTGACTGATGTAAACTGCTGTATGGTTTTGCAGAGGATTTCCTATTCATTCCAGAAATCCTCCATCGGCCGACAAACTCAACGGTCAGTATCTGGCCCCAGGGCATTCAAAGCCCTTTCTCCTCAAACGGACACTTCTCATTGCACCTCTTTGAGGGGAAGTCCTGAGCAGGGGGCGGCAGCCCAGAGAGGGGCGGTGGAGGAAGGGACTGAGCACTGCCTTCTCGAGCTGCTGCCCGCAGCCCCTGGACCCCGGACTCTTTCCCAGATGGGGTGTCGCACCTCCAATGCCATGTGGGCCACCTCCTCCACGTGATCGAATTGGCATGTTGTCTGCAGTGAATTCCTTACAAGAATTCCCTGGGGTCTTGCTAAGGAAGTCTAGACTTAGTGCTGCAGAGAGAAGACGAGGTGCTTGTGGGCTTATTTCTGGGCTGGCCTCTTCTGAGCGCTGGGCTGCGTGAGGCCCGTGGAGCGACATCAGAGGTTTGGAGGCTGGGGACCAGGATCGCCACGGTGAAGTGCGGGCAGGGAGCAGGGCACACGCCATCCCTGCAGGCAGCCCATGTTTCCCAGCAGAGCTCCTGCGCAGCAGCACAGGGTGAAGACGCACAGGGACCTCGTGCTTCATGTGGACAGTGAGGACGGGGCTGCGGCCCTGCAGGGGCCCTGAGCCAGGCACCAGGCAAGCAGACAGCCATGTTCCGGGGGCTCGATCGGGTGCCGCTCTCCTGAGCAGGGGAGGCGTGGGTGAACGGGACTGGCCACGCCATCTGGCCATATAATGTGGCAGGTGCCAGCGTCAGGGCTGTTCGCCGCCCAGACCAGCTTCTCGTGCAGCTTCCATGGAAACCAGCAGGAACCCCCCCAGCAGGTTTCCGCGCCTCAGGCCCGTGTCTGGGTCCTGCGAGTACTCAGCGTGGAGATGAGAGCCGGGGGCATGGACTCATGGTAGACAGGTGGCAGCACGGGTGCTGGCCTCCCCGGGTGGTGGCCGTCAGGCAGGGCCCAGGCGCCGGCACTCCGGTGCACTGGCTGCTGGCGGCTCTGGCTACTGGGCCTCCACCAGCTGCTCCAGGCGCTGCAGCATCGTCAGGCGCAGGGCTTGGAACCTGGAGGAGACACAGCCAAGCGGACTCACTGACTGCAGGGGACAGGGGCGGGGGAGGGGAGCAGAGTGTGGGAACCACAGGTGCTCGCCCGGGAGACACAGGCTCCTGACTGGCTGCTTGGTGCCACCGGCTGTCTTCTGCCAGAGAGGGAAGAGCCAGGCCCAACCCCGTGGGACTGCTGGCTGCCAAGAGGCAGTCAGACAGGGCTGTGCACACTGCCCAGCTTCAACGGCGAGCGCAGCTGCTTCTATGCCAAAGACTGTCCAGTGTGGGCAGGAGCATGCTGGGGCAGACAGGGCACAGAGCCGGGATCCGGAGCCCTGGGTTCAAGCCTGGGCTGCCACTGGGGGCCTGTGTCTTCTCTGTGCACTGAATGGACTGACCAGGCGCCCCCCCCCCCCCAGGTCGTGTCCAGACCCCAAATCCTACGGCAGCCCTGCTGCCTTCACGGCAGACTTATCCTCCATGGGGTCTGTGCAGACTGCCTGCATGGAGCCCTGCACGGATGGAAGCCGGGGGGGGGGGGGGGGGGGGCCGGGGCATGGCTTTCCAAGAATCATTCAGCCAGAAGCCAGAATCCAAGACAGTCCTCAGTTCCAGGCCCTAACGTGAGCAGCCTCCCTCTGCCCTTTCCTAAGAGGGACTCTGACCCTGGCCCTGGCCGAGCACCTTGCATGTTCCATGCTTCCCCCTGCAGGGGGAGAGACACAGCCTCGGGACACGAACCTGGCTAACCTCACACTGCTGGGCCCTGATGTAACTTCCCCAGGAGCTGCCAGGTGACACCTGGTCACCTGTCCACAGCACTGGTCCCCGGCACCTGAAAACATCAGCTGATGTAGGGAGTTCCAACAACCACTCCTTTTCAGCAGGCTCATGTGCTAGCACGAGGCCCAGCCCCGGCCGCATGTGCACGGAGCAGGCGTGCTCCTCAGTGGCCCCTGCGGGGCAGGACCAGCAGAGCTCCCAGCGGGGTCCAGTGCCCATGCACACTCCTGCCTGAGTCCTGTTCAGTTTTCAGCAGCTCGTGCCTCTGTTGGTGAGGCGCTGAGGCTGGATGGGCGGTCTGGGCTGCAAGCTGCCCACCTGGGGCCAGAGGGCCGTGCTGGAAACGGGTCAACAGGCCTCCCCTAGCTGCGCGAGGGCGTGTCTGCAGGAGAGAGCCTTCCCGCCTTGGCCCTGGCTGCTCTCCCTGCAGGCTCTCCCTGAGGTCAGGACCCACAACTGGCCCTTTAAGTGCTGCTTACTTCATGGTCAGTTTGATTATTTCTCTTTGCTCCTCTTCTTTTAATTTTTCAATAAAACTGTCCAGCACCGGCATTTCAAACTTAATGTACTGAGCAACCTAGAAAATTCAAGAACATTTTATTGTGTTTTAAATAAGAAGCCAAAAACACGTTTCCTTTTCCTGTGGTATCCACAGTGTCCAGTTCAGCAGTGTCTTACTTCCTGCCCCTGCCCAGCCCCAGCACGGCTCTGTGTCCGGGTGGGGACAAAGGGGCCACTCCTTCCTCAGAGCCAACCCCTGTCCCCAGGGAAGACCAAGCTGAGCATTAGGAAAAGCATTAAACAGATCAGAGGCACACTGGGTGTTCTGGGGGAAGGTGGGGTGTGGGGGGACACCCCTGTTTCTAACAACGGGATGAGACTGTACTGGCTCTGGACACAGGGTCACCAGGCCTTCTCCCTGTGGCCCAAATCCCATAGGCGTTTTCTGGTCAGTTTGGAAATGTGCTCACTAGCTGAGCAGGTCTCAGGCTGTGACCAGACGCCCCACCACAGGCCTAGTGACGACACCCCGTGTGTCTCAGTGTGATGCCCACAAGCACTGTGAGGAAGGAAGAGGCTCTGCTGCCCGAGGGGAAGCACAGGCAGTGGTTCCCTAGAACCCAGCTTCTCTCTCCTCCAAGCCAGCCGGTGGAGGGTGGGGGCTGGCGGGCAAGGGCGGGCTGGCGCCCCCATCACGCCTTGCGTGGGGCCCTTCAGACAGCCACGTGGTCCCTGGAGACAAGGCCCGAGAGGGCTGTGGCCAGGTCACTTCGGAGCCCTGAGAGCCCCCAGGAGCAGCCCCCCGCGCCCCAGCCCTGCTCACGTCGTGGGGCACCTCCTCGGCCAAGTCGGCCTCCATCAGGAACAACCTGGCGATTTTCTCGCACGGCCCGTGCAGGACTCTGGAAACCAGCGGGTACTCGCAGTCCTTTAACTTCGTCCGCTCTGAGAAGAAAGGCGGTTTGCGAAATCCATTAGATCCCCTCTGTTCCAGGACAGTCGCACGGTAGAGACAGATGTCAGCGTTCCAGGGAACTTCTCCAGACCTGGCTGAGAAGGCTGCCCTGACGAGGTGTCGTCCGTTCAGCAGAGGCCCCGTTGGACAGGAACAGTCCCGGGGGGTGGGGGTGGGGTCACCATGCTGTGCGGACAGGTGTGCGGAGAGGGGCGCAGGCTCTGAAGCAGCACTTCCCGGGGGGGGGGGGGCGAGGGGCTCCAGCTCCAGCTCACAGACCCCATCCCCCGCCCAGCCCTCTCGGTTAAGTGCTGGGATGGCAGCCCCACGGTGTCGTGGAGGGATGGCAGGTGTGTCCCGGGTTGGGCTGGGACAGACATTCGAGGTGGAGGCACCGTGGGTCCCAAGGCCAGGTGGGCAAGTTGCCCTGGGCCTGCCACACAAGCCTCGAAGGCCCTCAGAGAAGGGACATGATGGTGAGACTTACCCCCAGACTCATGAACAATGTAGAGTGCGAACTCACTGGGGCCGTTTTCCACCTGCAGCAGCAGAGACAGAAGTCAGACCGTGGCTCTCCAAAACGAGAGACAGAAACATGTGGCATTAGCCACACAGCCGGGCCCCCCCCCGCCCCCCGTGAGAACCCACCTGCACCCCCCTCTGCTTCACATCCCAGGCTGTCCAGCTCACAGAGGAAACCTCGCCGCACCGTCCACCCGGGAGCCACAGGCGACTTCCCAGCCGTCCCCAACCCCTCCCACAACAAAAGCAGCTGGAAAGCCACCAGCACGCGGCCAAGGCCGCCCGGCCACACTCACCCGGAACTTGTTCAGCAGCAGGGTGAGCACCTGCGGGGCAGTCATGGTGCTGTTGACCCGCACGTTGGTCTTGGACCCATAGGCAGGCGTGAACACGGAGGTCTGTGCGGGGAGAGAGGGTTCAAGGCGGGGCCGGGGCCAGGGCTGACCTCACGCAGGGTCTGGGCACACTGTCAGCCAGAGGTGCTGAGGACAGTGGAGCAGCAGGTGACCGGCTCTGGGGACACAGGCGCCTGTTCTTTCACTCAGATCCACCTGCAAGCCAGGCCCGCATCTGGGCCCACTAAGGGAAGCTGCCACAGCTCACATCCCACTAAGGAAGAGGCCTGCAGAGCTACCAGGGCCAGCTCTCTGATCCCAGGAACCAGTGGGATGGAGGTGACAAGGGCTGGGGGGACCGCTCTGTCCCCCACTCTCTCTATTCATCAGTTCACCAGTGTTGGTTGACTCTGAGGCAGGAAGTTCTCAGATCTGAGCCCTCCATTCTCCCAGCAGCGCCTGGGCAGAGGCCCCCGGTTCACCCGCGTCCACTTCCCAACCTTTCCCCTTCCGGCTCGCCTCCCGGTCAGCTCTCCAGGCTGCCCAAAGGAACGGCCTTCAGAGAACCTTGCAACTCAAAGTGCCAGCGTCCACTGCAGGTCCCTGACGCAGAGCTACCTTGGAGGAGGAAGCCAGGCGGCGCTCCGTTTAGGGTATCGTTTGGAAAACGCTGCCCTGAAGGACAGTTCGAGGTCAGCATGTGGAGGCTCCTGGGCCTGCGCAATGCCCTGCGCCGCAGCTCCCTCCCCCGCCCCGCGCTCCGCCGGCTTCGCCACTGTCTCGGCCCAGTCCTTTCTGCCCGGAGACACCTCACGCGAGGCCCGGACACTGCTGAGGCTGCACGGGTCCTCAAGGGACAACGGCCAGGCAGCGACCCGACGAGGCACTTCACATATAATCTTTGATTTAATCCTCACAATAGCTCTTTGAAGTACCTGTCACTTGTCCCCTTTCCTTTGAGACATGGAAGCTTGGAAAGGTAGAGTCGCTTGTTGGAGTTGCCCGTCTAGAAAGCGGGGTCGCCCAAAGCCCATGCTTCACCCGGCGGCACTGGGCCCTGCGCGCCCTACTCCCCGGTGGGTGGGCTCCCCCTTGCTTTCCACAACCGAGGGCACATTCTCACATCCTTCTGTCTGGCCCCAGCTTAGCTTTGCTCGGGATGTGACTGGGACTCAGGGTGTGCGAGGGACTAGTCTGTATCCCCAGCTGGTCCCAGTACCAGAGCCAGAATCGCGCTGGACCTGCCTGCTCACAGTGAAGATACACAATGACTCTGGTCGCACAGAAAGCCAGACCAGACTTTCAGTTCCCAATAAGTATGGCATCAGTGGAGGAGACAGGCCCTTCATGGAGAAGAAAGGCCTTCAACAAGACAGTGCTGGGACTTCCTCTCAAGAGGACACCAGCCAGCTCCCGCGGGAGGGAAGGTCTCGCTGCCTCCCCTCTCTGAGCGCGTGCTTTCTCCGCTGAACACACTTGGAGCTGACAGGCCAGGGCAACGCGGGGGACGTGCACCGTTCCAGCCAGGCCGGAAACCAAGCCAACATTACTATGAATCAGAACAGCTCGGAAAATCAGGGAATGAGGTAATAGGGCACAGTTCTAAGAAACACCACCTGGAATAACAACTCCAGGAAGTTAATTCTAGGAATTAAAAAACAACAACATATTGCCATTGAGTCAAATGCTTCGTCATCTGACCTCTAGGAACACGGGTTCTGCTGGAGAGCAAGGTGAGAGAGAGGGCTCTGGATGTGCTTGTCCCTGGGGACCCCTGGCTCCCCAGGAGCTGTGAGTGCTCTGTCCGACGAGCCTGAGATACTCGTCAACGTCCTGCAAGGCAGGCGATTTGCCCGTGAGAATAGACCCACATTCTGCAGGCGGACTGTTCTAGCTCCCGGCTGGCGGCTGGAGAGCCCTTCTTGGCAGGGTGGCTCCACGGGGCACGGAAGGCTGTGGAGGGAGCCTGTGCTGCTCATTTCTGTTTGCGTCAAAGGCTACAGACGCTCTGACGTCTAAGGGTCCCTTAGAAGGATTTACTACAGGCAATGCTGTTGCTAACCATCCCGAACCTCTCTAAAGTCCAGTCCCAGCTCCCCCTTCACCCTTTCGGGAAAGTACTCTCAGTCCTGAGATTTCCTGACAGCAGAGATCCCGCTGCACAGCTGGCTGGGAGGGGTTGGGGGGGCTGGTAATAAAGCAGGGTCCTGTCCGCGTGCCTTGTTGGCTCCCTCATCCTCAAGTCCAGGGCTCGCTGAGTGGCCTGACTGGCCCCTGGCAGGCCGAGCCTGGGCTGCCAGAGGCCACCCTGCCCGCCCTGCCCTCCCAGTATCGCCGGTCCCGGAGGGCTGCTGCTTAGCCTGGGACCCTCTGGCCTGCTTCCCAGGGCTGCAGGCTGTGCCCTGTGACAGGACACTCCAGCCAGGGCCTCACTCAGACTGCCACTCCAGCCATTTGTAGTAACAACGTCTCCACTTACAGTTCAGCTTTTTATGGGATGATGTCGTCTGGGGAAGGAGACCTTTCCTGAGGTCGGTACAATCATTCTCGGACAGAAAGCTAAGAGCTAGGAACCAGGGGCCGTGCAGGTTCTCTGGGTGCAGAAACGTGTGCCCGGGCACAGCTCAGCCTCACGGGCGCACTCTGCCCAGCACGGGTGCCAGCCAGGTACATGATATCCCCAGGAAACGAGCTCCGGTGGAACCTCACAGAAAACTGTCTAACTGAAGACAGACCTGGTGTGGAACAAAGACAGGCTTGCCCAAAACTCACGCAACTTGTGGGAATGGTTAGACAGTGAGTAAAGAAAATACAGGCTTTGGGTCATGAACGGGAACATTATTTTGAGGTGACTCTGGGCTGGCCCTGAGCCCTGTTTCTGCACACGGGCATGGCCACCCCTGCACACAGGGAGGTGGCGAGGGCACTCTCTGGCACAGCTACCATGGGGCCTGGCCTGTAGAAGGCCTGACAGCTTTGCCTGTGCTTGGGGCTGGTTCCCTGTGGCCTCAGCTTCTGGGCCCACGGGAGAGGTGAGGCCGGGACCTCACCTTGTGGTTGTAAAAGTGCCCATTGATGGAGAACCGGTGTCGCCGGATCCTCTGGGTCTCGCCAGGTGTGCGGCACCTGGGCCTCCTCTGGATCACACAGGCTGCGTCGCTCTTGGTCCGCATCAGCTGTGGGGTCTCCTCGTCCTCCAGGGGCTCTGCAGTGAGAAAGGCCAGGGCAGCACGGGCAGAGTAGCAGCCACAGAACTGCTGTGCCCCAGCGGCCCTGCTGTGGGGCCAGGCTCCCTGAGGCCCGGTGGCTCTGGCTGAGCAGACACTGTGCGGGCGCTGCTCCTGCGGCAGAGGCCTGGGTGATGCCCGGCTCGCAGACAGGCTGGTGTCACCACATGACACTGCCATAGGCCTGTGGGCCGTGGGCTCCGGGCACCCAGGGCAGGTCTCGGCAGCTCAGCCCATGCTCTGAACAGGACCATGTCTGAGTGTGAGCGGGGGGCCTGACGAAGACAGACGGTGATGAATCCGAGAGCCCTCGGCTAACTTCCCCCTTTCTCTGTCACAGCACGGAGCAGGGGACTCGGGTCACTAAGGAGCTACGACACCTCTGCAAACCTCTGCTCCCTTTTCTGTGAGTGAGGATCCACGAGGGGCCTCGTGAAGCCCCCCTTGGCTGCTCCACAAAGCTGTGCGTCAGCGCTGGTGGCGGGCCAAGCCCCTCTCCTCCCCGGGCGGAGTGGCCGGGCTCCGGGCAGCGCGGCCTGCTCACCTGAGCTGTCTCGGGAACTCTCAGCCTTGTGCTCGGTGGGCTGAGTGCTGGGGTCCTGGGCCGTGGCCTTGCCGTCCTGCCCAAGTGGCTCCTTTCTGAAAAGACACAACCATAATGCGGGAGGAGCAAAGCAGCCAGGCCGCAGGGAACGGGCCAGCTGCCTCCGTGGACAGGACACAGGCGAGACGTGGGACAGGCTGAGCTGAGCTGGGCTTTCACACCCACACGCGATGCAGAGTGTGGAAAGGAGCACAGCGTCACCACCGTCTGCGGGAGAAAAGGGGAGTCTGCTCAGAGGACCCAGTGGCCTTCCTTTGCCACCCGGCATGGACACATGGACATGCAGTCTGCTGCCCGTGTCAAGTGGGCTCTGGAGTCCTTCAGGCCTGGAGGAGAGCTGGGCAGGGGCAACCTTCAGGGGGGCAGCCCGGGGCCTCTGGGCCGGGGAAGGGATAAACGCGATGGGAACTAGCCCTGCAGCATGAAGGGGGGGAGGGGGCAGACAGAGGAGCCGCCTCCACACCGAGAGGCTTGTGGATTCCTGCGTCTGTGACAGCTCCGTGACGGCTCCGTGACGCTCTCTGACAGCTCTATGATGCTCTGTGACGGCTCCGTGATGCTCTGTGACAGCTTGATGACGGCTCTGTGACGGCTCCGTGACTGCTCTGTGACGCTCTGTGACGGCTCTGTGACAGCTCTGTGACGGCTCTCTGATGGCTCTGTGATGGCTCTGTGACTGCTCCGTGACAGCTGACTTCTCTGTGACTGCTCTGTGACAGCTCTATGATGCTCTGTGACGGCTTCGTGATGCTCTGTGACAGCTTGGTGACAGCTCTGTGACGGCTCCGTGACTTCTCTGTGACTGCTCTGTGACGCTCTGTGATGCTCTTGCTACTGCTTTGTGACAGCTCTGTGATGCTCTGTGACAGCTCTGTGACGTTCTTGCTACTGCTTTGTGACAGTTCTGTGATGCTCTGTGACACTCTGTGATGCTCTGTGACAGCTCTGTGATGCTCTGTGATGCTCTGTAACAGCTCTGTGATGCTCTGTGATGCTCTGTGACGCTCTGTGACAGCTCTGTGATGCTCTGTGACAGGTGTGACGCTCTGTGACAACTGTGTGACGCTCTGTGATGCTCTGTGACTGCTCTGTGACTGCTCTGTGACAGCTCTGTGACGCTCTGTGATGCTCTGTGACTGCTCTGTGATGCTCTGTGACAGCTCTGTGATGCTCTGTGACGCTCTGTGACTGCTCTGTGACGCTCTGTGACTGCTCTGTGACTGCTCTGTGATGCTCTGTGACAGCTCTGTGATGCTCTGTGACAGCTCTGTGATGCTCTGTGACAGGTGTGACGCTCTGTGATGCTCCGTGACAGCTGTGTGACGCTCTGTGACGCTCTTGCTACAGCTCTGTGACAGCTGTGTGATGCTCTGTGATGCTCTGTGACAGCTCTGTGACGCTCTGTGATGCTCTGTGACAGGTGTGACGCTCTGTGATGCTCTGTGACAGGTGTGACGCTCTGTGATGCTCTGTGACAGCTGTGATGCTCTGTGACGCTCTGTGATGCTCTGTGACTGCTCTGTGACTGCTCTGTGACGCTCTGTGATGCTCTGTGACTGCTCTGTGACTGCTCTGTGACTGCTCTGTGACGCTCTGTGATGCTCTGTGATGCTTCACCCCTGGGGAGTGTGCAACAAGTCGCACCTGCCCCCTCTGTGAACGCTCATCTTAATGAACGTTGTGCTTTACGTCTGTGTTGCCCACAGTTTGCTATGGTGACTAGGGACGCCCGAGGGTGCCCTGGGGTGTCAGCTAAGCGTCCTCAGAGTAGCAACTATATTTAATATTTGAAGGGGGAAGATGATGATGTTCAACTTTGATAAATTTAGAAGCATAAATTCTGATATTAAAGTAAAAGCAGAGCAGTCGGAGGCCAGATCTGAATTTTTAAGGTAGAACCGGAGATGCTGAGGAGTGTTCGTCTAGCAGAGGGACCCCCACCTTCAGCCCTCTCTCCTACAGACAAGATGGTTCACGTGAATGTTCCAGAGACAAGTGGAGGGGATTGGAACCCGGAACATTCTCCAGGAGGGAAGTGACTTGTCTGCCACCTAGAGAGACAACCCTGGGGTGGCTGCCCGTGGGCAGGCGAGGCCGGAGGCTGAGGCAGTCATGAGGTGACGGTGAGACTGGGCTTCTGTGCCCCATACAGGAGCAGGGCTTCTGCCCTGAGGCTGAGGGTCCCTCACCAACCCCCAAACGGGAAGCTCGGGTTGAGCAGATGTCATGGAAGCCACCTGGCCACCCCAGCCCAGCACTCACAGGTGGCAGCTGGGTTGTCCCGGCGTCCAGGCGGCCGAGGAGAGGTGTGCTGGCTCCCTGTCGTCCTGTATCTGGAGCCGGATGGGCCGCCTCAGCCCCCAGGTGATGTTGAGGAGCCCCTCGATGATCAGAGCCCCTTCTTCCTGTGGGGACCTACACAGGTCAGCGTCTCCCCCCGAGCAGCCGCCCTCAGAAGTCACTGCCCATCCTCCCTGAGTCCCCAGGACCCTGCCCTTTGGACATGGGACTCTCTGGACATTCAAACCCCCAAACACCACGCCCCCCTCTTTAGGGTCCCCCTTGGGGAAAAACCATTGAAATTCTGCATGCGCCAAGGCCCAAGGCCACAGGCCCAACCAGATGAAGCCCGAAGCATGTCCTTCCACCACTTGGCCCACACATGGCCAGGGGCATGGCTGAGGACAGAGTGGCTGAGTCAGGTGCCCCACCGCCACCCAGCCGCTGTCTGCAGGCATGTCCACACCGCGGCAAGGAAACAGTCTAGGGAAGCATGGCTGTGCCAACATCAGTGCAGTGCAGGGCGCCTCTCCACCCATAACCGTGCCCGGTCAGGTTCCCCTGGTCACCAGGTCTGCTGGGAACATGCTTTGGGTGCTGGACTCCATGCCCACTGGAGCCTCCCCTCCCCCTCAGACTTCCAAGTGGCTTCCTTTCTCACTACCTGAGACACGGCCAGCCCACATCACCCTGCACGGCACGCACACTCACGACATCCCCGCCAGCTGCCCGGGACTCCACGCCCAGTGGCTGTCGGCGTCCAAGCTCAGGCCAGGACTGCGGCACCCTGGCTGAAGCCCTGCGTGTCCCTCCACCCCCCTCACAGGGAGAAGCAGTGTCCACACCAAGGTCATAACTTCCTCCCACGTGGCCAGTCGCGCGGGTCCCTGGGTCCCCTGAGCATGCCTGCACACTTCTTTCCCAGGGGCTTCGCCACGCTGCCCGTCTGCTGGGACCGCACAGGCCCCTACGCGGTGTCCCTGCAGAGAAGACACTCCTGGCCGCTCTGCCACAGAGCCAACTGCACTACCCTTTGCAGCTGCTGTCAGTACCCGAAGTGACAGACCCACCCACTGGGCACGTGACTGTCTCCCTCCCAGAAGGAAAGCTCTAGAACTGTCCCTCTGCCACTGTTGTGCTCTCTGTGCCTGGAGCAGTCACTGATGCACAAGAGCACCGGTCGTCAAACACCTGGGGACAAGGACACAAGCTAGTTCTCATTTGAAAACATTGCATCTGGGGAGCAGCAACACCAGGACCCTGCACGCTGCCCTTGGTCCCAGACCAAGGTGGGCACGGCTGGCCTGCGCCGCCCCAGGCTAAGCCCTACACCGCCACGACTGGCCAGGCCTCCTCACAGGCACAGGCTCCGGGCTCGGCCACACCAGCCCTGAGCTGGGGTGTCCCAGGTTGCAGGGTGCTGGGTAATGCATGGTGGGGAGCGCTTCTAGGTGGTGGTGGCAGCCCCTCCCTGTGCCTCTCCCAGCCGCCCCGGCTCAGGTGACCAGGACCTGTGCCCACCCCTCCCCTGCCCTGCAGAGTAAACATCCCCAGAGCCTCCCACAGGCACAAGCAGCTCCAGGCTGGCAGCTGCGCCAGGCCCCGCCCACCAAGCTGTTTTCCTCGGAGGCCTCCCTGAAGGCTGCTATTTGGGCCCTCGTGACAGTAAGTGATGACTAGTGGAAAGGTATAAAAGCTGCGGTGGGGCCGCAAGGGCTGCCAGACAGCTCAGGGAGGATTCTGCTCTGGACCGCGGCACAGGGACGGAGGCCGTGCGGTGTCCTCCCCGGGGATCGGACACGGCTGCTGGAGCCCCCGCTGCCCCGAGCCCCGGGAGCTTCCTGTGGGCTGTCCCTGCTCATCCGGCCTCCCTGCTACCCCAGGTGCCTTCGGCTACAGGTGAGAGAGCACCTGCCCTCCGGTTCCAAGTCACACAGAACGGCCGTGTCTTCCAGGCGGTCCTCAGCCTGGGGCCTGCAGGCGTCCGTGTGGCCAGAGGCCGGGGTGCAGGTGGGGGCCATGGCTGGAGGGCTCTGTATCACGGGGTGTCATTCACGGGCTTCTCACGAGGCGCCTGGGAAGCAGGTACTGACAGCCCCTTTGCGGATGAGTAAGCCGAGGCTCGGAGACGTGACACTGCCAGAGGTCCCAGGTCAGGACAGCGTCTGGTTTTGAACCCAGGTTTCCTCTGACTCCACCGTTGGGCTGGGCTCTTCTATGCACTTGAGTGCAGGCTTTTAGGGTTAGTGGAAAGGAGGGGCCGAGGCGTCTGAGCCTAGTCTGGGGTCTGTGGACTTCAAACTGTCCTCGGGCGCATGACTCACACAGGCAGCCTCAGCTGGGGCAGGGCAGAGGGACAGGAGGGGTGGCGTGGCAGACCTCACCCCTGGTTCTGTCAACCAGCAGGTCGCTGCTTCCCCGTGGTCGGCAGCCATGAGGTCCCGGCTTCTGCTCTCTGTGGCCCGTCTGCCCACAATCTGGGAGAGCTGGGAGGAGATGCTGCCTGGGGGGCCCAGGCAGGAACCCCCCGCTTCCTCCAGCACGGATGACTACATGAGGTCCATCTGTCAGCTGGTGCAGCCCACCTCAGTGTTGGACGAGGCCGCAGCCCGGGACCGACCCAGCAGACCCCGCCGGTCAGCACGGGCCTGCGCAAAGAGCTGCCCCACCCGGTCCCTACAGGACGTCACCACTCACTTCAGCAGCCAGCAGCCCCCGCCGCCTGGGACCAGCGCTGATGACCCCCTGGACTGGCTCTTCGGGCAGTCCCAGGAAAAGCAGCCAAGATGCAGGGGCCTGCCAAGGAGGACCGGCCCCTCTGCAGACCGCTGGGGTCTTCACAGACAGATGGAGAGCAGCACGGCCCAGGGGGGCCCCAAAGGGAAGCTCTGTGACGCCCGGACACCAGGGCACTGTCTGGTGAGACCGTTAAGGGACCGGCACCAGAGCTCCTGGGCTTCCTGGAGACCCACCCAGGCCGCAGCCTCCCCGCCAAGCTCCCGCCCCAGCAGTGTTCTCAGAACTTTGTATTTGCACCTCCCGGTGATCCATGAACTCTGACCCCTCCCCGATAAAGGCTTCTGTACAGAGCAAGCTGGTCTGCGTCTCCTGAGGTGGGCACTGCCTGGCAGGCCTCTGGGAGGGAAATGAGATTCTGCAGGGGCTGCTGGCTCTGACAGTCCGTGGTGAGACCCTACTCTGAACAGTGAGAACAGCTGATCTCACGTAATGTCCTGTGGCTGGTCCCACCTGCATTGCTGCTGACTGCTGACCACCTTGGACAAGTTACTGAATCTCTGTTCTCAGCTTCCTCAGTTCTCGTGGGTAAACTGGGGATAATCAATGGGGCCTAGGCTGCTCTGAGGTGCACATGGCATGAAACTCACACATATCGTGGGGCACGTTGCCAGCCCATGCACACAGTAGCTGCTGCCCACGTGAGAAACGAGGTTGGGAGTGAGGAGAAATGAGGTCTCAGACTCCAGGGGTTTCAGAGCGAGGCCCTGGGTGCTCCCAAGTCAGCCCTTTGGCCTCCACTCTGAGCCCAGGTGCCATGAGGCCCAAGAGAAAACAAGGGGTCTCAGAAAATGCTCCCACTATTTCAGGGGGACCTGTCATGGCGGCATGGGGGAGGGTACCTCAATGGCTCCAGCTTACAAGTCCTGTCGTATTATCAGGAGAGTTTATCCCCAGGCTAAGGGCTAAGACAGGACCTGCACCAGCTCAGCCTGCAGGGTGCCAAGTGACTGCACCAGGTAATCCTGTCCCACACATCTCTACCCCTACCTGCCTCCCCGCAGGGGACCTCAGCTGTGGGTGTGAAGTGCAGGGTGTTGTCTAGATACCTGTTCTCAGACAAGTCCAGGGCTCTAGGCCTCACTCCACGTATCCTCAGGCCCAGGTTAGCTTGGGCCAGCCCTGGGGCCCCCAGAGACTGGCAGAACCCCATTTCCTCGAGGCGCCAGGCAAGCAAAGCGGTGAGGGTGAAGATGAGGGAAGAGGGAGGATCTCCTCCTCCGAGAGGCAGGTGAAGCAGCAGAGACTCAAGAGAATCAGGCCTGAGAGCCGGTCACCCTGCCTCGGGCTGGGCCAGAGCCGGCTGACTCTGGCCAGGGGGAAGGGAGCCGACAAGATGAGCTGGTGTTGGGGCTGCAGCCGCGCCCACAGCCTGCTTCAGCTCCCCACCTCCTTGCTCTGTGCACTATCAGACTTGTCTTCCTTCCTTCCTTCCTTCCTTCCTTCCTTCCTTCCTTCCTTCCTTCCTTCCTTATTTCTTATTTTCTTTTGTAAAGCTATTTTTAAATTGCTTTGGACTTTTAAAACATTATCTGTTTTCTTTTATGTGTTTTGTGGGGCCGTAGAATGTAAACCATACATTTAACAGAGAAAGTTTCAGCCTGGCGACGTGGCTCAGTGGACTGTGTCATCCTACAGACTGAGAGGTCCCGGTTCGATTCCTGGTCAGGGCACAGACCCGGGTTTCGGGCTTGATCCCTGGCGGGGGGTGTGCAGGAGGCAGCTGATCGATGTTTCTCTCTCACGTTGATGTTTCCCTCTCTCTCTCCCTTCCTCTCTCTCTAAAAAGTCTATGAAAATATATTAAGAGAAAAAGTTTCAGACACGCAGTTTCTCAGTTTCCTTATCTTTTACACGGGGACCGACACCTGCCCTTCGTGCCTCCCCGGAGCTGCAGAAACTGGAGTAACCCACTTGGATGCAGTTGTAAGCCCTGTGCACCAGCATCTGCACGTCACACCTGCCGCTTCTCTGGTCAGCTCGAGCTGGTGTGTCCCTGACTTCTCCAGCACAAATGCTTCAGCCAGAGCATCCTTGGGAGATTGTGGGGACAGCGGGCCTACTGAGAGGGTGCCCGGCAGGTGCCTGGATGGTGGGCACTGGGCTCAGCCGCCCTGCAGCCCCTTCAGTGACGCAGAACGAGAGGCGGGCAGAGGTAGGGATCTAGGGTGACCTGGCTGATTCCCTCCAAGTTCAGGAACGACACTGCTGCGTATGGTGTCAGACAGGGTGAGGAGACCCTGGGGTGCTGGTCTCTCTGCTTATATCTCTCAATGTGAAAGAAATTAATAGTACCTTCCAAAGGTGGGGGAGAAAAGAATGAAGGGCTGGGGAAAGGGCTCAGGCATGCCAGTGCCCCAAGCTCCTGAAGGACAGCCTCAGGGAAACTCCCGGGGGGGCGTCTAGAGCAGTCTCGCTCTCCGCCCACCCCTGCTGGAGTAGGGGAGGACTCTGTGTCCTACCTGGCGGGGGCAGGCGGGGAAGACTCGAGGCTCCCAGAGCGCGTGTCCCTGGCCGGGCACTCACCCGAGGCCAGTGGTCTGCAGAGCGCATCGGTGCCTTTCTCAGGCTGAGCAGGAGGCTTGGCGGGGAGGGTGAGGACTGGGTGCAGTGCCTGGTCAGGGCCACCAGGGAGAGCGTGGAGCCCAGGAGAGCTGAGCGCGAGGTCGGCTGGGAGGCCAGTTCTTGGAGGGGCCACACACGCATGCACCAGGACGTGAGTCATTAGTGACAAGTTTCCCCACAAGTGGTCCATTTTTCTCCTGTGACGCCAACTAGCCTGGTTAAAACGCTTTGCTATCTTTAAAGGGCAGATTGCTCCTCGTCGCTCCTGCTCGTCCTTGTAATACAAGCAACATCGTCCCAAAGGCAAGGTTCACAATAGCGGAAGCTGGTGCTCTGGCCCCCTCAGCTCTCAGGAACAGGAGCCTCAGTGACAGCCCTGGCCCCTGACCACGACACACTCATCTCCCCAAGTTCTACGGGCCCCGGCGAGACAGTGGGGGAGCGGGTGCCCCCAGACCAGCAGCCAGGCTGCAGTTGCTCCAGGGGAGGCCCAGGGACTGCTCGGCGGCCCGAGGGCCCTTGGAGGGGTGGCCCTGCGTGATGCTGTGCTCGACCTCTGCGCCCAGGCAGGAAGCTGCGCCAGCTCCTCCCACAGCTGCAGTCCCCTTGCTGGAAAGACCTACACTGGGGGCCGCAGTCCCTTTGTCTGGTGAATGGTGGCACCTATGGTGCAAAGTTCTCAAAAAGTAAGGCAGAGGCAAAGTGTCTGGGGCCATCTGCCCTGCCCTCGGGGACTACAGTGTCCAGGGAGTGGCAGCCCTGTGGCAGTGCCTGCAGCCACGGGCTCCCCAAGGCCCCGGAGGCCCCGGCCTGCATTCTGAGGGGGCCCCCGGGGCCTCGGTGTCCCAGAACCAGTCATGCGCTCAGTGCCAGGCCTCCCATGCCGCAGTGCAAGTTTCGGTGGCTGTCCCCTCCCAAAGACACACACTCCTGGGCAGGCTCCCCTGCTGCTAAGACAGCAGGAGGTCCCTGAAAGGTACTTCTGACTCCAGGGAGATCAAGTCAGACCCTCACACGCTTGGTAGGGTTGGGAACATGAAAATTCCTTCTGGGGGGTTTAACTTCCTGCCCTGGGGGCTGTCAGGAACACCTGTGGCCACTGTGTGTCTCCCACATCTCCATGGGGACTGTCCCATCATGCACAAGCACAGGGCACAGGCTTCCCAGTCCTGCTCCTACAGAGGGGTTTGTTGTGGGAACTCCAAGTGCCAACACCAAGCTCTCAGGCCAGCGGGTGCCAAAGGTGGCCTTCCTCAGGAGGCCCCGTTCGAACAGACGGGGGTGACGAGCTTCTCACTCAGCAGGCCCGGGGGAAGCGAGGGGATCGGAACTGCAGCCCTAACAAGTTCCCAGGTGATGTTGAAGCTGCAGGTGTGGGAATCACAGGTGAAGAGCCACCGTGATCTGAGATCAATCCCTGAATGGGCCCAGAGCTGAGGAACAAGGCCCAGCCAGAGACCGCGCCCATGCCACCGTAAAGGAACCTCAGTGGCCCAACCCTCACTTCACAGCACAGGGAGAAACCGCCCAGCACCTGGAGCTCAGGATCCTGCTGGCTAGTCACCCAGTGCCTGTGCCCAGGACCACGCTGTGCCTGGCCCTCGGGGATGCAGAACCAGGCGGGCAGTAGGGCCAGGCTCTGGGGGCCTCCACTAAAGTGAGAAAAGAGAGTGAAGCTGGTGATGACGAGGCAGTGGGATCAGAGCCCTGCTGTAGCAGTAAGGGGCTGGGTCAGTGGGGCGAGTGACAGGTGTTCCACTGGCCACTCCGCAGAGGGAACAGCCCTCGTCAGGCAAGGTGGGCAAGTTGTCAGGGGCGGCCCAGGCCCCAGGAGGGCGGGCAGGTCAAGGTGAGGCAGAGCGTGAGCTGTAGGCCGCCAGGCAGCCCAGCGCTGCCTGGGCCAGGAGCCAGCAGCTCCCTCCTGTCCAGGCTCCTGAGCCGTGTGACAGTGGCTTGGCTTGGCTGGCTGGTATCTCGGGTGGCCGAGCAATGCAGTCTGGCAGGTGGGTTTCAGTGGACCCTCCTTCATGCCACTGACAGATGACCCCTGGCTTACCCTCTGGTCTGGGAACTGCAGAAGGATGTGGCTGTTTGAATAGCCAAAGAGAATGAAGATCAATGAGCAGTGGCCTCCACCTGGACAGATGGCTGTGGGTTGATGGGAGCTTGAACCCCACTCTCATGTTCAGCAACAGAAGGGGAACCCAGAGGCTGCTGGGTCTCATCAGGCTGGGGAAAGTCCAGGCACCACCTGATCTCAATCTCGGAAACCCCCAAATAAAACCTTACCACAATAAGACTCCCTACTAGGCTTTACAAATAAACTGAGTTAGACCAAGGTGGGGGCCCAGTGCCCCAACCCGGGTTCCCATGTGAACGGTCTGAGGGTTCTAGAGGGCGGCAAAGCCAGGCCTCTACTTGACCTGCTCAGTGAGGGGCTCCCTGAGCCTGGGCCCTGCTGGCCATCCCCCGGAGTCCTGCAGACATGTTTTGTTTAGCCCACATGGGGTTTTGAGGTTTGTGAAATTCCACGTGAAATTCCAGGTATCTAGCTTCTTCTTCTTCTCTCTCTCTCTCTTTTTTAAAGGTTTTTATTGATTTTTGGAGAGAAAGGGAGAGGGGGAGAGAGAGAGAAACATTGATGTGAGAGAGATACATCAATTGGCTGCCTCTCGAGTGCACCCTGACAGGGGTCGAGCCCACAAGCCGGGCATGTGCCCTGACCAGGAATAGAACTGGTGACCTTTTAGTGCATGGGACGATGCTCAGCCAACTGAGCCACACTGGCCAGGGCTAGGTATCTAGCTTCTTTTGAAATATCAGAAAGGGTCCGAGCGTACCAGCCCGCATCCCTGCACAGCATCAGTGGGTTTGATCTGATGGGCAGCGGTGGCCTGAAGACGGGACCGGGGCTCTCTCCTCCTTCCCTCCCTGTGCCAGCCCTTCGCACTCGGACCTGCCTGGACCCGTGAGCACCTCTGGGGTGCTGTGCTCCTTTTCAGGCCTTTCCTCCTATGTTCATTCGGATTGACAAGCAGAGACCCTCCTTTCATGCCTCAGTTGCCCCGTGTACTTGGGCATGCAGAGCGCTGGCTGAGTTCCTTATTTATGCCGTGGGATGGGTGGTCTCGAAGATTTCTACTCCAATGTCCTGGCAACTGGCCGAGACAAAAGTCCCAGCTGGAAGAAGGCCCACAAGACGATTTCCACCTGCTCTGAATTCTCACAGGGATATTCTGACCCTCTGCACCCCTGACAGGGACCTCACGGAGAGATCCTGGCTCCTGGTCCCCAACTCAGAGAATGGGTGACTTTATAATTCATCATCTACATGGGGACACGTCTGAGCGTGAAGGAGATGGTCTTGAGAATTACCCAGGAACAGCAGGTATGAACGGGACTGTCTTCTGCAAATGGTGGGTGGTGGCGGCTGTGAACAGAGAAGAGAAACAGGCCTTACCTCCCGGTGTCTCAGCTGAGAGCTTCTGCCCTCGTGGTAGCAGTTGTAGGTTCTCAGCAGGCTCAAGAGCTCCGACCTGAGAAGGGAAAGACACATGCGCTGAGTGTGGCCGGGCCTTGGACAAGCTGCTGGTCTCCACTGGCCTCCGTCTCCTCATGTGTGAATGGGCACACAGCACATGTCTTGCTAGCCACACATACTGGTTAGGAGACCAGACACACGCCCTTCATTCTGCTTGAGGCTCTCACCGCTCAGCCCTGGGGAAGGCTACGGGGGGCTTGGCGGGACGTGGGACTCACAAAGGGGCTGCATCGCCGTACCTCGAGGGTGCTGGCACACTTTCACTACTGCGGAAGAAAGCTCCTGACAGCCCTCCTACACTTAATTTCCGAGTCATTTCCTAGAAGTAATCCCTGGGGCTGAGACTGCTGACGTTTTAAAGACTCCTGCTTTCTCCCCATATTACTTCCTGAAGGGCCTGGTACGGCTGCTGTGCGGGCACCGGGAGGCCAACCTGCCTCTCCCATCCTGAGCTCCTGGAGGTATGACCAAGGGTGACGATGAGCGCGGTGAGACCCTGAAGCCCCAGGGAGGCCACTCGCCCAAAGGTTTTCTCCCCGAATGAAAGGGAAGCCACACTTGTGCCTTGACTGGTGTGCGGCAGAGAGAAGTCATGACAGCATCCAAGCTGGGCTCTGTACCCAAGCTGGGCTCTGTACCCAAGCTGGCCGCTGTACCCAAGCCGGGCTCTGTACCCAAGCTGGCCGCTGTACCCAAGCCGGGCTCTGTACCCAAGCCGGGCTCTGTACCCAAGCTGGGCTCTGTACCCAAGCTGGCCGCTGTACCCAAGCCAGGCTCTGTACCCAAGCTGGGCTGTGTACCCAAGCTGGGCTGTGTACCCAAGCCGGGCTCTGTACCCAAGCCGGGCTCTGTACCCAAGCCGGCCGCTGTACCCAAGCCGGGCTCTGTACCCAAGCCGGGCTCTGTACCCAAGCCGGACTCTGTACCCAAGCCGGGCTCTGTACCCAAGCCAGGCTCTGTACCCAAGCCGGGCTCTGTACCCAAGCCGGACTCTGTACCCAAGCCAGGCTCTGTACCCAAGCCGGGCTCTGTACCCAAGCCGGGCTCTGTACCCAAGCTGGGCTCTGTACCCAAGCTGGCCGCTGTACCCAAGCCGGGCGCTGTACCCAAGCTGGGTTCTGCACCCAAGCTGGGCTCTGCAGGCAGCACCATCCAACAGGTATAAAGTGCCAGGAGTCACAGGTGTAATTTTAAATCTCTGTAGCCACAATACAAAAGAAAATGAAACAGGTGAAGTTAGTTGTAGTAACACATTTTATTGAACCAATAGATCTAAAATATTGTCGTGTAATCTATATAAAAATATGAATGAGATCTTGCTCATTATTTTATATTGTCAGAGGTGTTTTCCACCTGGAGCATCTTTTATATTAACTACACTTGTTCAGCTACAGATGACATGCTCGGAAGCCATTCTTAGGCCATTCTTAGCTGGTGGCTCCCCCTACTGGACAGCGCCGCTCTAGCACTTCTTCAGGTCGGGCCTTCCCTGCACTGCAACACCCCTAAGCTGCTGATGAGAACACCCGCCCGGTAGTGTGGGTGATGGGAACTGACAGGGGAAGGATTTGCAACTTCACGGCATTAACAGCGCAGGATCCAATGTTCACTGTGCTTATACGTGTGTAAGTGTGGAACACAAAGTTATTAGGATATAGATACATGAAATTAATCATGTTATGGTGATTATGATTTTTCCTAAAATGATATTTAATACTGTTCTTATTGTAAAATTTAAATAAGAAAAATGTGGTATGGGTAGCATGGTGAAATGATACAACAAAACGCGGGCGGTTCTCAGGTCTCTAGCGGGAGGACAAGGGCGCTGTCCCCGGCCAAGCGAGCCCACAGCAAGGAGGCTGGCTGTCTCCAGGATGGCAGCTGGGCATTGCCCCAACTAGAAAACACTCAGACTCAGGCAAAATGGCAACTGTACTTCTCTTTAGTTCAGAAATAAATTTTAAAAGGTATCCAAACATTTTTTTTATGATGACACAGAGAGTAAACAAAATAAAATAAGCAAAGTAAAACATCATTAATATGTCAACAAAATACACTTTTTCAGCAGACTCAAACCAGTTTTGAGGGTTTTTTAACTGTTTAACACAGCAATCAGTGTTAGTATTGTTCTAATCATTGCTGTTTGTTGGTTTCTCAGTATTGCTCTAAATTTTTTTTTTAATTAACTTATTTATTTTTGTTACAGATGTTTCTCTTTTCCCCCCCACTGATTCCCCCTTCCCCCTCCCTCCCTGCCCTATCCCCAGCTTTGTTGTCCATGTCCATTGTTCATGCATACATGCATATAAGTTCTGTGGTTTATCTCTCCCCCACCACCCCTTCTTCTGGGGATTGTCAGTCTGTACCCCACTTCCATATCTCTGGGACTACCCCATTCCTCAGACTGTTATGTTCATTATATTCCACAAATAAGTGAGATTATATGGTACTTGTTTTTCTCTGTTTGGCTTGTTTCGCTTAGGACAATACTTTCCAGGTCCCTCCATGTAGTCTCAAAGGATAAGAGATCTTTCTTTTTTACAGCTGTATAGTACTCCATTGTGTATATATTCCACAACTTTTTTATCTATTTGTCTACTGATGGACACTTGGGCTGTTTCCAGATCTTAGCTATTGTAAAGAGTGCTGCTATAAACATGGGGGTACATATATTCTTTCTGATTGGTGTTTCAGGCTTCTTAGGGTATATTCCTAGAAGTGGGATCACTGGGTCAAGTATTGCTCTAGTTTTTAAATAAGTACCATTCCTGTGGGGTCGCAGTGGGCACTGATGGGCTTTCCCGCTTCTGTGGGCCAGAGTGCAGAGGTCAGACCCACACCTGAAGAAATCCTAGACCTCCAAAGAGACAGGCTTCAAACGAGGACAGCCACATGGTGCCCCATCACTGTCCCTGGGCCAGGCACACCTCATATCTATGAAAAGTGCCCAGAATCCCTCCACCCAAAGGCTGCCCATGGAGGGAGGTGGGTGGCCCCAAGGAGACCACAGGCCTGCAGCCAGCCCCTCCCAGCACACACAGGCTTACTTCGGAATGGATTTGCTGTCGCTGACGGGCACGTGAGAACTGGGTGGGAAGTCTTCCTTCATCTCCTCCTGTCTGCAGACCCAGAAGTTACCTGCCAGAGAGACCAGGAAGGGCACACAGACGGGTGAGCGGCGGGAGCGCTGGCCAGTGCAGAGCCCAGAGTCCTGGGGTGGAGGCCGGCAGCCGGGCCTCGCCTCCCACCTCCCTACCCTCCCAGTCCTCCGTTCCCCAGGCCCCACCTCACTCCTGCTCCCTGGTCCAGGACGACTGCACCTGAAGGGTCAGGCCCAGAGGACGGAATCGGGTTCTACACCCACACGTGTCAGCCAAGCGCCCCCTGGTGGGCCAAGGTCAGAACTGCCGAACCAGCCGTTACCAGCCCTATCAGCCCCCCTCCGGAAACCTCCTCACAATCCCTACGAATCAGGGTCAGTCTCCTAAATGCTTCAGATCAGGTGCTTTCTTCCGTCCACTGGGACACCCTGAATAATGGTTTCTGTCTCGATTACTCCTCCAAACCTCCAAAGCAGCCTGGGCCTATCTCCTCGATTCCCACTGAGCCCAGGGTGGGTGGCCCAATTCCTGCCACTGGAGTCAGCACACCTGGCCACCTAGCCTGGTGATGGGTCAAAAGGTCCCATGCTCACTACTTGCCACAGATTGTGTTGAGCATTTTCCATGAATTACAGCAGGCCCTTGAATAATGTAATTCAATGCTGTTCTGTTACAATGTTGATGAGATGCTGTAGGAACTTAGCTCCTGTTTATCATTTAGCCCATTGTAACATTGGTTTCTTTAGACGTCATTTCACCTAACCTCACAGAACCTATTGCCAACGTTAAGGGAAGGCTTGCCGTATTTCCTTTACTCCTGACAACATAACGAGGTAAACACCATCCCATTCCCATACTATGGATGAGAAAGCAGCGAAGGGGTCAAGCTTCTGTGATCATGTGCTCATAGCCCAGTCTGTTCTCCTAAGCCCTTTTCTCTGCTGGTCTTGGAGCGTGACTCAACCCCGAGGAAAGAGTGAAGACAGGGAATATATAAAATGGAGTCATCTCAACTAAGCTGCTAAAATTATTAACACTACGAGGAAGGACTCCGTTCTTTTTTTTTTTAACTAGCCTGGGAACTGAAACTTTTTTGATCTTTCTAGTCCTGTGTCAATGCCTGAATATACATCTGGGCCTCCAGGTAACCCTCTGATTATCCCTGAAGGAATCACAACCACATCCACCTGACATCTGTTATCCAGACCCCTGGAACCACACCTTGCAACCATGTCCCAGGTCACCTGACATCTATCACCCTGACTGCCTGTCATCTGACCCTCCAGGAGCAATCCCGGGGCTGAGAATGCAGGACTGAAAATTCTCAAGAATGTACTTTTTGCTATTCGAACTTTTAACTTCTTTCTTCTTGGGAACACTTCTGGGTTTTTGCCCGGCTGTGTTTCCAGTTTGCAAAATCCTAGACCTTTGAATGAATCTTTATCCTTTTTTTTTCTAGAAAAGTCTCCAGACTCTGAGTTTGACACCTCCAAGCCCCCCTTTGCATCTAGTCAGTGGGGTAATGTCTGCCCACAGGACTGTTAGTGGGTTCCCACGGAAAGCTATACCTCTTCCATTCAAACTGGAGAGGTCGTGGAGCATCTCAGCCCTGGGTCTCCGACGGAGCAAGTCCACCGGCCTGTCGATCTTGTTGGCATCTCTCCCACAGACTCCTCCCTCGAGCTCTCATCAAGGCCCTTTGTGCGTTCCACGGCGAAACACTTCTAAAGGCACCCTCCACCCTTGGCCTGCCTCTCCCCAAGTTGCAGCCAGGAATTCAAGGGGTTAAGTGATTCTGGGAGGTGGCAGAGACTGGGTGCACAGCCTGTCCTTCACACCACCGAGGTTGGCTCCTTCACAAAACCCCAACCTCTGCTCATCTGTTCACACAGACATGGCTCAGTCCCATCTCCCTGCCGTGTGCAGAGGCGCTGTCCCCTCGGGCCCTGATTCTCCCCAGCCCCGCACTCTGTGCCGGCTTGCTTGGCACCGCTCACAGATCAGAGGAGCCTGCCTCGATGTTGGCTGAGCGATGGATTCTGGAGGAGGGGGAAATGGTACGTGTGGAGAAGGGGAATTATTTGAGGAAGGACGGTGGGCTTCCCAGTGACCTCAGCATCATTCTATAAACACCTTCCTCTGCCTTTGTCTGGAGCGAGGCAAATCTCAGCCCCGAGAGGCCAGGCTCCCCTGCAGGGCAGGCCCCAGCTATAGCCAGCACCGGCCCTACCCCCAAGGGCAAGGGCGGGGTCCCCCTTCGGCACTCTTCTAGGCCCATTTCAAAATAGGGTTTCGGTTCCTCAGCATCCCTGTGGAAAAAGTGACCCGCCGGGCTTCCCCTCAGAGCAGTTCCTCAAATCCTTCCTGCACAGAGCTGGCTTAATTCCGCCCGGGGAAGGCTGGGTGTTTGGGGTGCTCACTCAACACAGTTTCTGAGGGCTCACGGCACCAGGATGCCTTGCTTTAGCAACCTCATTACAGGAAGGGCTGCATTACCCCGCGCTAATGGGGTGGCTTTCCCTTGCCTTCCTCCTGCCCGGCTTCTCCCCCACTCCTCCCCCTCCTGCTAGAGCGCCAGCCTTCCCGAGCTGCCCACAGCTCCCCACAGCTCCCCTAACGGGCTCTGGGCCTCTCCCTCCTTTTGGGCTTTCACGGTTCTATCCTCAGCTCCTGGCCCTGTACCCCGAGGCCAGCTCCCCAGTGTCAGGAGCTCCCCTGCGCCCCGCTGGGCCCTGCAGGTGTCCTGCTTTGACCCCCTCAAGGAAGAGGGGGCGCTGCCTCTGCCCACGCGTGTTCCCCGCACGGACACGAGCCTGACACACTGCGGGTCGATCAGAAGTGGCTACTGCGTCACTGGATGGCGACAGGAAGCCTCAGGGGCGCCCAGAGCTCAGCTTCCCCAGACTGGGGCACATTCAGCTGTAATAAAACACATGAAAGTCTCCAGGGCCAGGGAGCCACTCAGCTGAGATCCTGGAAACCATCCACAGGGAGCTGGGGAACACTCCCTGCTCTAGACGGACAGCTCTTCTGGTGTTTCATGAGAAGCCAGAAACCTGGGTTTTTTATTTTTATCCTCATCCGAGGACATTTTTTTCATTTTTTGTACAGACAGAGTGGGAGGGAGAGAGAGGAAGAGAGAGAGAGGGAAACATCGATGTGAAAGGGACACATCGAGTGGCTGCCACCCGCACGACCAACCAGGGCCGGGGACAAACTGCAACCGAGGTACGTGCCCTTAGCGGGAACCGAACCCGGGTCTCTCCGGACCGCAGGCGGACGCTCTAACCGCTGAGCCAAACCGGCCAGGGCTGGGTTTTTTATTTTTAATCTTCACCTGAGTATATAATTTTATTGCTTATAGTGGGGGGATGGCGAGAGAAACATCGAATTGCTTGCCTCCTGTACTCGCCCCGATGGGGAAGGAACCTGAAACCTAAGTCTGTGCCCTGACCGGGAATCGGACCCGCAACCTTTTAATGTACAGGATGACTTTCCAACCAACTGAGCCACCTGGCAGCGTGGAAACCTGGATTTTAAATAAAACTTTTCTATTTTTATTGATTTTTAGAGACAGGAAGGGAAAAGGGAGAGAGACAGAAACACTGATGTGGGAGAGAACCATTGATTGGCTGCCTCCTGTATGCCCCCATGGGGATTGGGCCCACAACCTGGGCATGTGCCCTGACTGGGAATCGAACTGGTGACCTCTTAGTGCATGGGTTGATGTCAACCACTGAGCCACACCAGCCGGGCTGAAAACCTGGATTTTTATTGGCTACATTTCATTGTTTAAAGTTGGGTGACTGGCAAGGACACAGACTGCCCTGTGACCTGTGATGGCTCACATTCCCCAGCTCCCAAGCTGTGGGGCATGTGACTGACTCTGCTGACAGAAGAGTTGTGTGTCACCCCCAGGCTGGCTCCTGTGAGCCACTGCAGCCTTGCAGCTCTCCTGTGCTCTGCCATGGTGACCCTGAACGCCTCATGTCCCAGTCGGTGCATCTCCCTGAGGGGCAGCCTGGATCTGTGAGTGCCTCAGTGGACCAGTTTCTGCACCAACCCACAGTGGGTATGGACTGGGAAAGAGAAATCAATCTCTGCTGTAATAAGCCCCTAGCATTTCAAGGATTTGTTAGTGGAGTGTAATGTAGACTCGTGTGTTACGTAATTCCAATGGGTATATATGTACATATATAAAATATGGGTAAAAATAAGGTACAGCCTGACAAAGCACACTTGCAAGACAGATGTCCTTAGTGGGGCTCCAGGCTACGACTTTGGATTCGTGACATGACCCTGTTTACGACACTTTCATTCTCCTGCAGCACATGGGGAGCGTGCCCATTTTCTCTGGGCAGTAGTAACATCACAAGTGGGTTTCTCTGCAAGTCAAGCAGTGACCAGTTATTAAAAACGCTTCCTACCGAGCTCTCAGCTGGGATCTGCTAAAGACCCCGGTGACTTCAGTTATGTCTTATCCTCTCTGAGCCTTAATTTTCCCATCTGAACAATGGAAATATTGACCTTTGGTGGGGTAGAAATTTTCTCAGCTGTAGAGCTCTGTTCAAATGGAACATTTACACCAAATCAGATAAATGGGGTCAGCTTCGGTTGACAGTGAGGTGGGTGGCAGGGAGCCCACCCGGGGCCTAGGCTACAGCTGTGGATAATACTGTTTGCTTGCTGAGCATCACGTGAGGTCTACATGGGCCTTCGGGAGCGTCACCCCTGCGCCTGCTCATCCAAAGGACGTAACTGAGGTGCTGGCCGTCGCCAGCTGGAGGTGGGCAGCATCAGCGACAGGAAGCTGGGCAGAGGAGGAATTCAGAAGGAAAGAGAAGGCTCCTGGATGGCAGGGGGCAAAGCGAAGGGAGAAAGGGGAGCTGAGGGTAAACAGCCTGGCTTGGAGGGACAGAGGATTTGACACAACATCTCAGGGAAGGGCAGGGGGTGAGCAAGGCTGGGGGAGACAATGAAAGGCCAACTGCAGCAAAGGGGGGCTCCAACTCGCCAGGCTGGGTCTCCAGCCATATG